TCTAGACAGAGCTGTGAGCCTGGCCATTACCATCTTATACAGACTACCCGGGGGGTCAGCATCCACCTCGTTGCTTGGCAGCAGCTCTTTCAAGTTGCATGTCAGTACACTGGAAGACAGCGTTCTTTCCTGAAGCTTTTCATCATTGGTGCGTCACAAGCGTTAAAGACCCGGTTCATTACAGTTCCCACCATATCTTCAAAATTTCCAGCCTGCATAATGTTGCCTTCCATCATGGCAGCGAAAGAATCGCGATCGTACATCCTGTGGTTCGAAGATGCCCTCTACAAGCACCAAGGTGGGCAACAGGCTGCCAGGGGCAAATATGTGATAGTACAGGACTGAGATGGGCCTAAGCCTACATTGACTTTGGTTCAGGGTGCATGGGGAACTCTTCAGTGAGAATTGACCCCCAATGGAGTGGTAGTTATTTTAAGAGACCCTGGTAGGTTCCTTAGGACGATGGGTAATAGATGGCACCTGGAAACAACGTTGGTCAAAGCTAAATAGGTAGCTCTGACTCCAGAAAAAGAAACTAATTAGTATGAGAAAGTTGTTCAATTTTGTAGCACCTCTATTTTAATTATATGTTCATTACTTTTGTGTGTACTATGCTTATAACAATTAATTTATGTACCTTCTTTTTCCTGATAAAAACAGAAACATTTGAAGAATCACACTCATCAAGAAGCAAGTTTGAAAGTGAAGTTAAACAACTTCGTCACTTAAATGAACGCTTAGAATCTGAGAATCAAGATCTTCGAAATCAATTGCTTCAGGGAACTTCTGACAAGGGTGAGCGTGATTCACCAATTCTTGCTCCAGGAGTTATGTTGTCAGCTGTTACCAAGACCTTTGCTCGAAAAGTAGCTAGTCAACTTGGCGCAGATGCCTCAAACATTTCTCAAGACAATTTGGAAGATAGTATGCGGAAGGTAAACAAATATGTACGTAACTCATTCACATGCTTTTTTTTTTCTTTTTTTAAATCATTTATATCTCACAAAGCTGCTTTCTAACCCGGAATATTGTTTTCCCCTTTTGCAGTAATGGTAATGGCTTTAAAAGAAATAGATCTGAGTTCACTTAAATACCTTTCTGTTCTTTTGTAAGTTTTGTCTCTTGCCCAAGGCAATGTCTTTGCCCAAAGAAAATATGTTTAGGAATGACATGTCAGGCATTACATCTGGAAGCTTCTCATTGTGAGTGGAAAGAACTATATATAACCTGACTTAACTTCCCCAAGAACATATGGCATAAAATTATTTTCTTTATCAAAATCTGCAGCTTAGTTTCTTGACAGTTCCATCATTTGATGGTGTAGATTCATTTCTACCTCTCAAGTTTTTCTACTTACTTTAATTGGGCAATAATCAATCTTTCTTACAAATCCATAATAATGTTTATTGTTAGAAACCTTCATATGGCTTGTTAAGGAGAGAGCTAATATGATCTAGGAGCCTGATATTGAACTTGATATTTCTTTTTTCGTTTTATAATTCTTATCTACCCATAAATGATTGTTTTATGTTATATTACAAGTTTTCAGTTATTTTCAATTCAATTATTTATTTCACGTTGGGTTATACAATAATATGTGTATATACACATGTACAAAACGTCACATCCCTGCACCGAGACATGAATTAATTCAATTCTAATTTCTACAATAAAGATTATATTATGTTTTAAACAAAAAAATGATTAAAAAATTACAAATGTTTAGAAAAAATACAAAATTTACAAAAAGTAGTAATATAATTACAATACAAAAAAAATATATTCACAGACACAAGTTAAAGTAGAAAAAGAAATGCCTTCACTATTTCATCATAGAATTTACATCTAACATCCTCTTCGCTAAAGTTTACCAACTATTTCTTAAGTAGTTTTCCATTAAGCTTATTATTCATATCTGTAAGCTTTAAATCTTCATTCAGATAATTAAAGATTGTATGAGCAACATACACACAGGTTCTCCTGCCTATTTCAATTTATTTTATTAAAAACTTTTGTATGTAGATGGATATATAATGTTGTATTCCCACTTTATATTGCAAATGAAATTAATGCAATATTGTCACATCTGTATCAGCTTTGAAGTCAGATTCAGTAGCACATAATGGTGTTAACTAGTAACTAGTCTCATATCCCTATGCATGAGTAAAATTATTGAAACACATCTCAGAAGTGAGAATTTAACTGGTCAGTGAAATTCTAGGAGGCACATATGTAATCTTTCCTATGGCCAAAATTGGTATTTTGAGACCTTTGTTGGCTCTCTTTCTTTTTTAACTATACTTATGCATTTTGTATACTATGTTGTTTTTTTTACAATTGTCTATCAGAACTCCTTTAAAATATCCAGGAGAGGAGGGGGAAAGAGGTAGAAATAACTTGCCCCACATGCATGCCTGTGAAATTTTTATTTTGTGTTAATGTAATAACATAATAACACATCTTGTGATTTGAGAATATTTTAGAATAATTTTGGAAATTAATGTTGTATTTATCTCTTTATGTAATATCTTGTTAATTCATAATTAATAGTTTCTTATCATGTAATGTATTTGGTACAGGCACAAGAAGATGCAGAAGTTCTCCGTTCATTAGTTATACCTCTAGAAGAAGAAATACAAGCATTAAAGGAGAAGATAAGACAACAGGATGAATTGCTCAGAAAATTTCCTGATGAAAAGGTGATAATATATGTGATAATTTACTCAGGCATAATAGTTTGTATCTCTACATTAAATCTGAAAATTTGGTATCTTCTAAGATAGTGAAGGGCTTAGGTACTTTTCCTGCCTCTCTAGTGTTCATTCATATGATTT